TTCTTAAAGACAAAGCTTATTATAGAACGTTATGGAGAAACTACGGCCTAAGCGTCTACTATAACTATAAAGTAATATATGAGTGGTGTAATTATTTACTATTACAGCCATGTCAGACTTAAGGGGAATTAAAGTAAAGTCGAAGTCCTGCAAAGGAGACCAGACCATAGCTCAGTGCCTACGTCCGGGAGGAAGTGTGCCACCATGCGGCACTTAGCGAAGTGTCCTTGTGTTCTTGGTTCACCACACTTGCAGACTAGTCTAGCATCGTGCCCGAATCTCTCGTGGTATTCCGTAAAATCCCCGTGCCCAGTCCTTTCGGCGAGTAGTCTGTGTAGGATCGGGCGCGGGAGGTACAGTTCGGGGGGTTATGGCTAGTGCCTCGTAGAGGCACTACCCGGTATAGTGGGTGTATTAATGTTTAAAACATAATAAAACTTTTATTTTCAACATTTTTAAGTTTAGCATAATAAATTTAAGTAATAAATATTATAATTTTACAAAGTGTATAATACTTACTACTCGCCTTCAGGGAAAACTACATCTCCAACAGCTAAATAATGAACATCTAACTCCCAAATTACTGTATCACCCCAAGTTCTAAACTCCCAATTGCAACTTTTAGTAGTAGCATCAGTAGTTAAAGTTAGTCTTGCATTAGCGGAGCCCGCTATATCCATCTTGCTAATTCCCATGAACATATTCGGTGGTTTAGTAAACTTCTCGTTAAAGTCGAAATGACCATTTACTGATTCTGACAGTTGGTTAAACTTATGTACTTCATAAGCCCCAAGCTGTGTATTACCTCCAGGCCAAGCAAGCCATTGTATGGTAGCTGAATTAAGAACAGGGCTCCCCCAGGTGTTGACATCAAGCATAAAGCCTGTTTTAGTAATATTCGAAACATTAATCTCTAAGCGATAACCGATGGACAGGCTTAAAGAAGTAAATGTCGCAAACACTTGAGGCTGAGTAAAAAACTCGGGTTTAAATGTAACATAGTAACCAGAAAGCCCACCCGCTGGAACAGATACAGTATCGGCCTGGAATGGCGAAACCGGGGGAATGGCCATCAGTATAGTAGATGCCGAGTACACTGTGGTGTCATCCCATCCAGCAATGGTAGACTTGACCTCTGTTGCTGAAATATCCGTATCGTTTATTGTGACGCCAAGCCTAAACGTATGGTCGTCCGCATTATTACCAACATCGAAATCGCTGAAGGTTGGGATGATTTGGGGCGGGCTACTGAAGGGTGTCGTAAATGTATTGGTAAATGACCATTGTTCTCCTGGATAAGCATCTTGCCAGTCTGATGTATTATTTGTAAAGAATTGGATAGGCGTGGGAGGTTTGGTGAGTTGCCTTTTGTTTTTGTCGGGCTCTGGCACAGCATCTAACTGTTCTCCTAATTAAACGGTTAGAATTATAAATATAAAGGACAGTCTGTGGTTGCTATTTACCTGATGCCATTTTGAGCTAAGATTTCCTAAATAAGCTAGAAACTGTGCCCTACTTTACGCTAAGTAAGCGTTGTATATTGTAAATGGTAGTGCAACCAGCCAAGCTTTATGTTGGACTTTGTCTGAAAGAAAAGGACTAGTTATATAGTCTCCGGTTACTCTGTAGTAGTGTTGCTGTTGTTATAAATTACTACGTGGTAAACTTAATGGCGCATTTTCTCCGGCTTTTGAGTTAGAGACCCACCGGTTTGGGTGTATATACAAAGCCTGTCACTATATACCTCCAAGTCGTGTTTTCTCTCAGCTGGCGACTAGCAGTGTGCCTATACCAAATTAAGTGCCAAAGAGGGTCGCTGTTAGACACATTGTGCCTGTGACTGGCTGATTGACTTTGAGTAGCCGCCAGTGAAACCCTACATTCTTCTGGTTTCAACCATTGCTTACCAATAATAAAAAAAAGATCCTGATATCCTAATCATGGGGCTTCTAAGCATATTTTCAGCTGCAATGCTACAGTACCAACGTTAGCAGATAAAATAACGGAAGTAACATTAACTACTCGATTCGGCACTTGACGATATAGCTGCAGCTTGGAGTGTTACATCGTCCGGTTTCTCAGCTTGCCTCTGGGCCTGCACAGCACGGCATATGCTACAAAGACCGAAGTGCAGGAGTGTCCGACATTAAATACCTCCTGGGCCTCTACAGTAATACTAGACATCAAAATTTGTCTTGTCCGCATATATATATTGAGATGAGGCAACATATCGTCAGTCGAAACAAGAACATTACGTCCCTATTCCGCTCTCCTCTATTGCAAACATAAAACACATTGGCATTATGTCTCTTTATGGAGGAAATCTTCTAAATCTAGAGGATAAAGTTATTGGAGCTATTGCTGTTTGTCTGCCGCCGTCTTTTGAGGTTGGAGCTCCCTTTACTGTACTGCTACTATCACCATTGCAAAGCCTTCATGGGACTCCTCGACTCGATTTGTTTATAGAGAGTGCTTCAGTGAAAGATGGAGAAACCACCATTTCTGCCGCCCATACAAGATATATATTCAAGCTCAGTATTTACCCGGACGATTTGGATATCTCCATCCAGACTGATCTTGGTGTCCTTGCGCCGTGCAAGCTAGCACGGCTAGCAATTTTCACCAGCACAACATACAATCACAGAGATACCCAAATCTATGCGCAGATGTCACAGTCGGAGGGTAGCTCGGAGATAATGATTACGGATGTGAGGGAATCCTCGATCGCTGCTGTAATAGTACCTTCGAATCCATCCAACATGGCAACATTTTACATGTTGGAGTTGCAACCAGCTGGACAACTCGACATACATGACTGCATAATGAAGGAGGATAGTGAAGGAGCCTTGAATTTCCGAATACACCACCAGGGGGATGAGTCTTTGACTATTCAAGGAAAATTTCGCAAAGCGTATGACGGCATCGATGTCTGTAAAACTCAGCATGACGACTCCACCTCATTTGAGCTCCGAAGGCTCATCAGGAACCCGGCACCTACGGCGTTGCGCGCTTCCGAGGATCCGTATACCACTATTGTGAACGACCTCGATGAAATCGTTCAGTGTACCCTCCAAGAAAGCGACGAAAATCCCTGGCCCGCGATCATAGAAGCCACATTCGGTCTCCAGATGGGCGCTGTCGGATTCCTTACGAGCATCGCTGTTGCTGGAGGCCCTTCAGGGGGTGTATCCGTCGTGCTCGCAGTAATCGGATTGGTTTTGGCTGCAAGAGGCTTCAAAAGTGCGATCAAGTCCTCTAGTTCCATAACAGCGTGTATATTTCCCGAAGGCGCCATTTCGCGCCAAACCAGCAGCACCAACGACTTGTTTGTGCTCCGGGTTTACGTCCATGATCAAGCAATTCTCCGAATTTCGTCATACCGTCTGAACAACTTGGGTGGCGGTACACAGTACTTATCGCAAATGCTCACCCCGTCGGTGGAAAACGAAATCTTCTACATCGATATCAAAGGCGGCCAGGGTATCAGCCTTTATAGAGCCATCAAGATTCCCAATCTTATACCTGACAATCTTTGGCCAGGTAGTAACGAGAGTGTTGAAGACATAAACGGCAAGTTGGTTGTATATGCAGTAGACAACTCTGGCAACACTTATTATGATGCGGAAGATTGTTGGAATAGCGAAGGTGCTGTAGTAAGTTTCAAATACTCAACAAACTCCTGTTTCCTTATGCAAGAGCCGGGGTCACAACCAGGATTCAACAACAAAATAATACAGGTACCAAATTCGAACCTGTCTATTGTCAAGTTAAGCGGCCTATCAGTCACGGAAACTCCTAAAAAAGGAAAATATCTCGACCGGGATCCCGATCCAATAAGGGTTATTGTGGAATACACCTCTTACTGGATGTATGTTGCACGGCCCTCTACAACTACACCCCCTGGGGAAAATTACAAAGATGTAACAGGATACACTGCTGTTGATGGAACATATGTGAGACCAGATCCTAATGCTGATCTTTATTTTATTATTCGCGACTGGATACCTTATCAAGCAATTGGCCCAGTGTAGTATAAACAATATATTTCAGAAAAAAAAAAAAAGGATGTCTTCTCTATACTTCTACCATCTTGGTTGATTGTGACATATCGTTCCAAGGTCCATTTAAGCACTGGTTGTTCAGTTGCAACAACACGCTGATTACTTGTAAACTGCCGATATGCATAAACCATGTAAAGTTGAACAACGCGACCTAAAACGACCATCTTTATTGGCTAGCTCTAACCCCAAAGTGGGGACCGTCAGCTTAGGTTTAAGCATGTCAGAATATAAACTGGGGTAAGGTTACTGTAAAGAAAAGGGGTTTACTCTCTATAAGTAGAGCAAGCAAGTCCGTAGTAAACGAACACTTATGTTGTTCTACTTTCTATACTCAAATATTTATCATGGAGCAGCTTACTAAGAATGAGTTTGTTGATTTTTATGAGCCATACAGCTTGTTACTTTGCTTGAAATGCCGCACTGCTCTCCCACCTTTACAAAGCTCTATTAAGTCTCATTTTCGAGGAAAGCATAAGCCAACAACAGCCGAGTTAAAAAGTATTACTGATTTTTATTTCTCAATCAATCCAAGGGTTACAATAAATGACCCGCAGTCGGTTGAGCTCCCCAGTGATTACAGTCTGCCCATTAGCTGCTTACAGAGCTTTCGAGGATACAGCTGTAATGCATGCCCGTATCGAACAATAAATAAGAAGAACGCTGCCACTCATCAGACTCGTAGCAAGCATAAGCTTGGCCCAGGTGAAAAAGGGTGGAAGGCTGTTACACTGCAAACATTTTCACGGGGTGGACGGTCCCGGTATTGGATCGTTGATATAAATAGCCAGCATGATGGTATAATTGGCGGCTGCTATATCATAAAATAAGCCCAGCTAACACAGAGACAGGCGATGGGAATGGCGCCGATGGCAGTAATGATATCACTGCGCTGGTGAAAATGGCCGAGGTTTGCGAGCTAGGCATGATAGAAGAAGAGAAGAAAAGACGGCAGCTTGTCGAGACGCCAGGCGGGGTGAATACGGATTCAAAATGGGTCAAGTTTATGAAACTGGCTCATCATCTGAAACGGAAGGACCGGAAAATGCTCTTTAAGGCAGCTGAATCGGCAGCCACGAAAGCAGTTGAAAAACGGTGGTATCAGCAAGAGGAAATCAGGGCAAATCGACGGCTCCGGCAACTTGGCGCCAGCTTTGACCGGGTTCTTACAAGATGTACAAAGCGGCTCGATAGAGTGCCGGACCAGACGCTGAAGTGGCTCAGCAGCATTGATGCAACGAAGGCATCGACTGAGCCGTTTAGCAGGAACCAAGAGGCTGCAACGACAGAGCGATACAGCTCATACTGGAGGCGATATCTCTGCTATTGCGTCAGGGTTAGGCCACTGGGGCGCTCTGAGGCTAAAGCTGAGCATGGGGTTTGGTTTACGGATCTGCAGTGGGACGGACTTGGAGAGGTTGTTCGACGGCTAGACGCTTTCGTAGCAATCGCTAAAGAAGACGACTCAGAAGAGGATGGCGGCGACGAGGAAACGCCAGAGAAGGACGCCCTCGATGAGGCCGTCTTTGAATACTGCATCAGATCGATCAAGCAACGGTTGGGCAAGAAACAGTATCGAAATCCGCTGTTGCACTTCATAGCAGTGCTTGGCATTGATCGCTCGGCCGAGTCGTGGATTCCGTCGCACTCGCACACTCGCTTTATGGCTGGCTTTCTCTACTGCGGACGAATTTTGATGCTGGAGCACTTCTTCAAGGGCAACACCGGCGGATCAGACGATTCAGGCGGATCGGACAACTCGGACGAAGAATCGGACTGCGAGGTTAGTTTCAGGGCTATAGATCGCTTCCACGAGGGACACCGCCAGTGGCTAGTAGACGGCTCGTACACGCCATTTGGGTCGATCATACAGTGGATGACTTATGGGAGAGGCTATCGAAAGCGCGAGGTCGGGCTGGCCCGACTGGCATGGGAGAGCGATGGCAAGACGCTAAGCTATCATGGGGACCGAATCAACATAGGCAAGTTTCAATATACAGCCCAGGCGGCCGTTACCGATACGGAAGCGCTGCTCAATAGTCTCATGTCTGGCCAGTGGGGTCAGATGAAGGAGACGATTCATCTGCGAGACATCGTTGACAGCTTGGTCTATGAAGGGCCGGGAAGGTCGTTTGTCAACAATCGAAAGAACGCGTGGCTCAAGCCAGGATGCGGTCAGATGATGAGAATCGTTGGCGAGACGCTCTGGAAGAGGGTGAAGGATGGGAACGGCAAGACGCGGCACGAGTGCAGGCGGCAAAAGGTGGAAGAGTTTCTCATACTTCTCAAGCAATTCAGGGGCAGCTTCATCAGGGCCGTGCACATCTGGAGCGGACAGCCGGGGCGAGGGCCGGAGATGACAACGATCAAGCACTGCGATACGGAGGAGCTGCCGAAGAACGTGTTTGTGTTTGACGGGCAGGTCATGATTATCACGGACCGCGACAAGAGCAAGAGACTAACAGGCCGCGGCCGCATGGTGGCGCGGTTCTTGCCGGAGCACTTGAGCCGAGTCATGGTGGCATACATTGCATGGCTGCTGCCGTTCGAGAAGGTGCTGCATAAGCTATCCGGCATACGGGGGCCGGATGAGGCGCTGGAGCCGTGGATCTGGAAGACGGCCGCGTACGGGCTCTGGGATACGGAGCGACTAAGCAAGGACTTATGTTTGCTGACGGGGTCACATCTCGGAGTGGAGCTCGGGGTGTCGAACTACCGGCACGTGGCTATCGAGTTTGGGCGTCGGATCAAGGGTCTGGTGATCCGGCAGCTTGAGCTTGATGGCATCGAGGCGGGAGACAGCGACGGTGATGGTCATCATGACGAATTGACGGGGGAATCGCGAAAGCAGCAGCGGGTCGAATACGTCTGGGATCTGCAGGCAACACACGGCAGTCTCGTGGCTCGCAACCACTACGCGATCAACATGCTGTACCCGAACCAGCTGCAGCCGGAGATGATTTCGAACTTTCAAGAGATCAGCAGGCTGTGGCATGGATTTCTCGAGCGCAGGGACGGAGAGTTCGGGCAGAAGCGAGTACTGGATGAAGACGAAGGGCTACAGCAAGCGGCGAAACGGAGGCGGGTGCAGCCACTACAGGGTAGCAGCGGCGTTCTACAAGAAGCTCTCGGGCAACTGGGACAGATACAACAGACATTGCAGGCGCTGCTGCACGAGGTAGATGGTAGTCTGCGGCAGGGCCGTCGACGAAAAATAGCTCCGGCCAGAGCGGTTGACGAGGTTGACGAGGCTGACGAGGTTGACGAGGTTGACGACGGTGAGGAGGGCGATGATGCAGTCAGCGATGAAAGGACTGAGAGCGGGCTAAAGAAGATGCTTGGCGAGGGCGCGGGATGGAAATCTCAGGAACAGCGCGAGGGTATGCGTCGGATTATAAGGATGCGGAACAACGGCATACGGAGCAAGATGCTGATTATAGTGCTCCCGACAGGTGGCGGCAAAAGCATACTTTTCTATCTGCCGTCTCTCATCAACGGCGAGAAAGGACCGGGCGGAAAGATAAACGTTGTTGTCGTCCCGTTCATCGCGCTGGCGGACGACTTGGTTGCGCGAGGTCGCGAGTTTGGGGTTGACTGCATGCAATGGCGCAGCGACATGGAGGAGGTGCGCGATGAACGGCAGAGGGACGCGAGTCTCGTGGTAGTCAGCGCAGACATTGCCGTTTGCGATGGCTTTACATCATATCTGGATAGCATTCGGGGCAGGGGCTTGCTGGGAACAATCTTCTTGGACGAGTGTCACACAATCATCATGGATGTAAGCTACCGGGAGCGGCTGGGATCTCTGGTCGGTCTGCACAGATATGGCTGTCCGATGGTGATGCTGACGGCGACGTTGCCGGTGTCGATGGAGGGCTGGTTCCGGGAGCGGATGCTGGCGAAGGAAGCCGATATCATTCGGGGTCTGACGGCAAGGGTGAACATCCGGTACAGGGTAAGAAGAGTGAAGGCAGAGAGCCGGAGCAGCGTCGAAGACGGGGTTATGGACGAAATCGAGCGGATGGGGATGGGGATGGTGGGTGGGCAGAAAGGGGTCGTATACTGCCGGTCAATCAAGGAGTGCGAGAGGCTGGCGGCACGAGCCGGGTGCGGGCACTATCACGGGCGGATGACAAGCGCCGACAAGGCGGCAGCACTTCAGGCATGGTGCGAGGGTAGAGAAGGGGGGCAGCGCTGGATTGCGGCGACGACAGGGCTCGGAACGGGGGTTGACATAAAAGAGGTTGTCGCAATCGTTCATATGCGGCAGCCGTATGGAATGGTAGACTTTGGGCAGCAAACGGGGCGAGGGGGGCGGCAAAGAGGCGAGGTGGTAGATTCGGTGATTGTGACGGACGGGGCAGCGGTGTGGTACAACGAGTTTGGCAGCGACGTGGATCACGAGAACCGGAAGGCTATGGAGAAGTTTCTGCAGACAACGGACTGCCGTCGAATGGAGCTGGGTGAATTTCTGGACGGGAAAGGGCAACGATGCGGCGAGATGGGTGCTCTGGAGTGCGACTGTTGCGAGGAGAGGGCTAGGCAGAGTAAGGAGGCGCGGGTGGACGAAGGAGAAGGGGAAAGCGAGGAAAGCACGGGGAGTGAAACGAGAGATAGTAGCAGCGAAGGTGAAGGCGAGGGTGAAGGTGACAATGAGAGGGAGGTTATGGCAAAGGGGATGGTCAGGGGTCGACTGCAAGAGCACAAGCAGGAAGAGAGCCGGCGGTTGACGGTGCTATACGGATGGCTGGATCACATGGCGGCAGTGGGCTGCTGTGTATGCTATGTAAGATGGCATCTTGGAGGGGGGAAGGAGGTGTTGAGGGCAAAGTATATGCATAAACGAGATGTATGTACGGTGATCAGTGTCAGGGAATTTGGCGACTGGAGGGCTAGGGTGAAGTTTGCAGACTTTATATGCTGCTGGGAGTGTGGATTGCCGCACAGGTGGTGCGAGGCAAGAAGGGGAAAGGACGGGAAGTGCTGCTACGGCAATAAGATACTTCCGGTGATGATGATGGCTCGGGTAAGCGGGAGGGTGCAAAGGCTGGTGTTGGAGAAGTTTGGGGTGGACGGGAAGGGTGATGGTTATCAGCAATGGATTGGGCGATCAAGGTATATGTACGGGATGCAAATGATAAACGGCATGGCAGTATGGGATGAAATTATTCAGGAGTGTATAAAAAAAAGCAAGGAATAAAGGCAGGGTTAGAAAAGGGGTTTATTTACAAAAAAATAAAAGTTGGCAAATATATATATATTGATTTATTAATATAAGGAAAATATATATAAGGTTAAGGGAAATATAATATTAAAAAAAAAAAAAAAAGAATAATTTTAGCTAAAAGGGTATAGGGTAGTAGAAAAGGGTTATATAAGAGGTATTGTAAAGTAAGAGATAAAGGGGCATTTCACTAGAGGCATTGTGAGATTAGGTAAATTTTGGCAAGAGGTTTAGTGAATAAGGTGTTGGTTTAAAGTAAAGCAAGTAGGGTAAAAAGAAAAGGTAAAAGTAAATAAAGTAGTAGCTAATAAATAGCAGCTAGCTTATAGTTAAGTTTTAAGGTAGAATATAGCAAAGGCTAAGGGTTAGGGTTATAAAAGATTATAGAAGAAAAGAGTGGCTAGTTAAGAGCGAAAGTGCTTATAATTGGTATAGGGTTAGGGCTGAAGAAGAAGGTCTTGGCTATAGTAAAATAAGTAGAAAAAAATATAAATGCTAACTGTTGAAAACTAAAATAACTTTTATTTAAAAAAAGTTGAGTAAAAGATAAGAATTTACTACTTTAAAGTATAAAAAAAAGAAAAGGGAAAAAAAAAAAAAAAAGAAATAATTTTATAAAATAAAAGTTAAAAAATATAAAGTAAGGTAAGTAAGAAAATAAGTTAAAGTAAAAAAAACTTAATAAGGTTTTTAACTTAAGGTAAGACTTAATAACTTTAAATAGTTTTAAAAAAAATAAAGGAAAAAAAAAAAAAAAAAGACATCGCCCGTGGTAAGGCTAAGAGAAAAAGACGTCGCCCTATCCGGCTATACAGCATCGAGCCGTGCGTACGGCTCGATGAAATACCGGGGGGGTTGTGGCCCGTGCACCGGAAAGGCAGGGGGGCACGGCTCGATGTCGTACGGCTCGATGAACAACTGGGTTATCTATCTATCCATCCAGGGGGGGACTTAGTGCCGTGGGGGCCCGGCTTGCCTAACCTAGAAACGGGGGAACTCGGTCATGATTGAGTGGAAGAAGATGTATGCCGTACGATTATTAGCCCCTAAACTATACCACCTATACCACTTACACTACCTATAGCACTGCACTATAATAACAATAACACCACACACTCTCTTACCCTTTCTCCTGTGCGGGTGAGCGTCTAGGCCGGCTAAGTGGGAAGGGAAAGAAAGAGATAAAGATAGAGGTGAATGATGGGTGAGGCGAAGGGAAGATAAAGATGAAAGAGAATAATAGGTGAGGCGAAAGGGAATTGGGTGAAGGGCTGGCTCCTGTACGGGCGAGTGTCTAGGCGAGGTGGGAAAGAGGATGAAAGAGAATACTGGAGCGAAGGTGAGAAAGCTGGGCGGAGTGTCCAGGCCGGCTCCCGTACGGGCGAGGGTCTGGGCCTGGCGAAAAGAAGATGAAAGAGAATGACGGATATAGCAAAGGGAGCTGGGCGAAAGGGGGCTGGGTGGAAGGCTAGCTCCCGTACGGGCGAGTGTTCAGGGCGAGGTGGGAAAGAAGATGAAGAAAGAAAGGGAATGGTGGATGAGGCGGAAGGGAATTGGGCGGAAGGGCTGGCTCCCGTACGGGCGAGTGTTCAGGCGAGGTGGAAAAGAAGATGAAGAAAGAAAGAGAATAATGGATATGGTAAAGGGAACTGAGCGAAAGGGAACTGAGTGGAGGGCTGGCTCCCGTACGGGCGAGTGTCCAGGCCGGCCAAAGTGACGGGAAAGAAGATGGAAGCGAATGATGAATGATGGATGAGGCGAAGGGGAATTGGGGGACAGGCTGAAGGCTGGCTCCCGTACGGGCGAGTGTCTAGGCCGGCTAAGTGATAGGAAAGAGGATGGAAGCGAATTGACGGAGCAGAGGGGAAGAAAGCTGGGCGAGTGTCTAGGCCTGGCGAAAAGAAGATGGATGAAAGGGAATGATGGACGAGGCGAAAGGGAACTGAGCGGAAGGCTGGCTCCCCGTACGGGCGAGTGTTTGGGGCTGGCGAGTGCGTGTCCTGGGAAGAAAGCTGGGAGGACAGGAAGGAAGATAATGCTGGCTCCCGTACGGCGTGGGTGTTCAGAGCTGGCGAGTGCGTGTCCTGAGAAACAGCTGGCCTCCGTACGGGCAAGTGTTCCTACGCGGGCGAGTGTGTGTTCTAGCAGCCTGGGAGTGAGAAGCTAGGCGAGAGAAAGAAAGATAGCTCCCGTACGGGCGAGTGTTCCCGGCTATAGGTGGTAAAGGTAGAAGAAAAGACTGGCTGGGGTGGAAGTGGGAGGGAAAGTGGAAGGGAGGAAAAAAGCTGGCGCCCGTACGGGCAAGTGTTCCTAGCTGTGGGCGGTAAAGGTGAGAGGGAAGGGGAAAGGATAAGGACGAGGCTGGCTCCCGTACGAGACGAGTGTTCAACGCTGGCAACTGTATTATCCTAGGAAAGGCCCCCAGCCTAGCCTAAAGGGCTTCTCCCCTCGCTCCCCTCGCTCCTTTTTCATCCTAGCATCAGAGGCTACGTTCGTGTAATTAGCTCCCTCTTGGGGGATGGTAGACACGCCACTTGAGCTGTATGCTTTGATGAGAAAGCCAGAAGGGAGGAAAGGGCAGGCTGGGCGCCTGTACGGGGCGAGTGTGTCAAATGTCTTCGCCAGCCGGGAAGGGCAAAGAGGCTGTGGGAGAATGAGGCCGGATTCTGTACGGACGGGGCGAGTGTGTTGAATGTCTTCGCAAGCTCGGAGGGACATAGAAGCTGGGAGGAAGAAGCTGGACTCCGTATGGGGCAAGTGTTTGATGTGTTCGCAAGCTGGTAAGGATAAAGAGGCTGCGGCAGAATGAAGCCGGGCTCTGTACGCAACAGGGTAAGTGTTCAGTGTGTTTAAGTGTTTGATGCATGAAGCTGGACTCCGTACGCAACGGGCGAGTGTTCAATGTGTTCAAGTGTTTGATGTGTTTGAGTGTTTAATGTATTCGAGTGTTCGATGTGTTCGCAAGCTGAAAAGGACAAAGAGGCTGTGGGAGAATGAAGCTGGACTCCGTACGCAACGGGCGAGTGTTCAAAGTGACCGAGTGTTCGATGTGTTCGCAAGCTGGGAAGGACAAAGAGGCTGCGGGAGGAAGAAGCTGGACTCCGTACGGGGCGAGGGTTTGAAGTTTTCGTTTTCGCAAGCTGGCAGGATAAAGGGGCTGGAAGAAAGCAGCCGGATCTCGTACGGGGGTAAGTGTTCAGGCTGGTGAGTGTCTGGACAGGAGCCAAAAGAGTAGCAGCTGAAAAAGAGAGAAAGAAAAGGAAGAAGAAAGGGGGAAAAAAAGAAAAAGAGAAAGGAATAAAGAAGAAAAGGGAAAAAGACTGCTGTACGACAGCAGCATACGCCGCCGCTGAACCGCTTCGTACAAAGGGCCAAAGCTTCTGCCTCAGCGGTGAATCAGCGCGAGGAGGAAGAGAGGTGAAGCTGAGCGGTGTGTTCACCCCGAGTTGCGTGTGAATCACAGCGCATGCTCGCTCTGCATTTTCGCAGAGCTGTTCACTCTCGCTCGCTCTGCATTTCGCAGAGCTGTTCACTCTCCTGCCAGCTGATGCGCCAGTCGTACGGCAGAGATAAAATGGCTGCATCTCTCTGCCTCGCTCTTTCTCTTTTCACTCCCTCCTTCCAATCCAACATCACCAACCGCACACACACACACATTTGCCGTCACCAACAGGCAGCTTCGTACTACTTTCCGACATAGCACAGCACAGATCACACAGCGCCATCGCCTCTTTTTGCCTTCGCCATCACCATCACCAACCAACCAGAGACTGCAGCCTTTGCACTCGTACGACGACCAACAACCGCAATGGCCAGGTATTTACTTCCCCCACTCCCCCGCTCCATCACTCCATCACTCGCTTGCTTTTCGCCCAGCCTTATCTCGTACGAAAGCCAGCTGCTGACCTTGCTTCTCTTCCTCTGTTTCTAGCCAGGATGAAACCCAGCTCGTGGCTTTCCGCCAGCAGCCATCGAATCCCAACGGCGTAAGTTCCCAGCCCTTTCTTGCCCTCTGTCTAGGCGCCCTGGTGTGATGTCTCCTGTACGAAAGCTGACCTTGCTTCCTCTTCTCTAGCCACCACCGCCCACAAGTTGTGAACAGCTCCTCGTCCGGTGATGCACGCCTCTTCGACTTCAACGTTGCCGGGCAGCAGCTGCGGCCGTACATCAAGAACGCTCTACAAGATGCCGTCCTCCGACTCCCTGGCCGCGTTGTGACCTTCCTGCGCGGCCGCGTACGACCAGACCAGATCATGGGCATGCGCGACTCGTACGTCAACGCCTTTCTCATCCAGAGTCGAGGGACTGCCACCGACCCTCCGTGCGGTGCTTGCCAAGACAAGATGATACTGGATCCCAATGGCTACGCCAACCCTTTCCCTACTTGCGTACGACTCCCTGGCCACTTTGGCGGTAGCTGTGGGAATTGCAAGTGGCGGGACCATGCTGCGCGCTGCTCCAGAGGCGATAACCCGGGCAGTTCCACACGACCACGACGAGGGCGTTCGAGCCAGCGCGCACGACGAGGCCGAAGCCGTACGAGCCAGGCCCGCGGCCAGCGCCAGGTAACTTCGGGATCTGCAGAAGACCCAATTGACTTGGACGACATGAGTACGACCTCGAGGTCGACGGCAGTGGCCAGTTTGTGTACGAGGGGCTGTCAGAGGAGTCAGAGGAGGATGAAGGAAGTAGTGGCAATCCCATTCGGCTGCTGGGGAACTAGCCATCCATTGTACGAATTGAAGGAATGAATAAATGAATGTATAGTTGAGGCGCTAGGGAAAAGGGAATGGAAACGGAAGATTGGGTCACTGAATTAATGAATTGAGTTGGACGAGGGGACAATTGGCTTGGGAATAGATACTAGACATAGACAGGGAATACGGCGGGATGGCTTTACGGCGTTTTGTGATGCCCCGCAGTGGCTTTTGATAGAGCGGAAAATATACCCGGTATCGTACGCATACTACAGTGTGTGATGCTTCATCCTGTTGGTGTGACTGTAATGTGATATGATGGGCGAGGAACTCCCTTGTCCTGTACGAGTGCGGACTGAGTGGCGCGGTATAGCCTGGGAACTCATCAGTCTCATACGACCAAGCGCCAGGATTCCAGTATGTGAGCAAGCACGTAAGTAGTACTAGGGTAGTAAGTAAGTAGGGAGCGAGTGGGGAGCAAGTGGAAGGGATATGCAGCGTGAACTCAGTTATATCTTGCTCGTTTCGTACGAGTACTGTGGCAAAGCGTTGCCCATGTATCGGAAAGGGAAGAGATAAAAGGCGTGATTGGGACAGGGACGCCTATATGTCGTACGGCAGCGCCAGTATTCCAGCCTGGAACGGGAGAGGGTAAGTGGGTAAAGGTAGTAGTAGTACTTGGGAAAGAAAGTAAGAGAGAAGACCACGTACGAAAGGAAAAAAAGTGAGGGAAAGAAGAAAGGAAAGGAAAGGAAGAGGGAGAGAAAAGAAGAGCTTTGGGAGAAGATACTAGTAGTACTACTAGTAGATGGAGGATACTCCCACTGCTTCCGTACGAGGCACTACTGCCAGCCCCTTATGTGCAGATGGTGTAAGGATCACATCTCTTTCCTCCAGAGATGGAGACTGGAATAGACTGGCTTCGTACGGCATAGGGTAAACCGGGGCAGCAGGAACTGCCACGCCCAGCCTTGGTGTGCTGCGGTGCGGATGAATGCCTGTGGAGCTCGCATCTCTTCCCAAGACCTCTCCTTCGTACGATCTGGCTAGACTGGGCCAAAGCTGGCGCGCGCGCCTGAACTTGGTGTATAGGCAATACAATAATCAGGCTGCTCCTAGAGACTGGGAGAGACCGGCCTCGTACGGCATAGGTGCCCTGGGTGTAAACTGGGACAGTGGAAGCCATTCGCCATGTCCAATCTTCAGTTTGCGGACACCTGTGTGCCAACATGGCCGCCAGTGTCTCCAAAATCCTCTCCCGTACGACGTCACATCACATCACGGGGGTACAGGGGGGATCTAGGCCAATCGCCTTTACAGGCTCGTACGCGCTCTCTACTATTGGATAAACTCGGGGCTGCCCTGACTGCTTATCTCGCACGTGGCCAGGGCCCTGTGTCACCGCCATCCATGAGTATATAGACAGGTATCCGTACGGCACCCTATTCCCCCTCCCCCCTCCTCTCTTCTTCCCTTGCTGGCAGATATATAGGAGGGGAAGGGAACCGCCAGAACATCACGCTTGAGGAGCAGGCGGGATCGGACGAGGCAGCTTCAGTCAGTCAGTCAGTCAGTCAGTCAGTCAGCTGCGTCTATTATAAAGAGCCATGACATAGACGTACGAAGAAGTCCAGGTTCCACGCCCGAGCCCTAGGCGAAACTTGACGAGGCAGCTTCCATCAGTCGGCTGCGTTTATTACGAAAAGCGACGTATGAAGTCATCCAAAGCCCCCCGCGCTCGAAGAACAGGCGAGATTTGACCCGAAGGCATCCGACGCTACTCCAGCTACTGCGGGAAGAATGCGGACCATACGAAGTCCAAGTCCCGCGCACGATTACAATACCAAACAGTCCCCCGTACGAAACAACTCCGGGGCCATGGATCCTTTTACCCATCTCCCAGTGTTTCAGCTTGTGGTGTGCAAGGAGTGCAAGTACGCCTGTCTCTCCCAGCATGTCCCGAGGCACCTCCGTACGATACACCAGCAGCTCACCCACTGGCGGCGCCAGGAGATTGCAGCTCTCGTACAGCAGATCCCGGATATCCTGGCGGCCGCGGCCGACCTAGACCGGCTCTACCGTCCAACAGAGGCGATCCCAGCAATCCCAAGTCTCGGGGAGCCCTGCTCTACTGGAATCGCCTGCCGCGAAGATGGCTGTGTCTTTGTGTGCACGCACAGGGCCACGATACTTAGGCACTATCGTATGAAGCACTCGTGGAAGAACCCGTGGGTGAAGGGGGGTGATGTTCGCCATCAGGCGCAGTCTCACAGCCAGCCGTGGCGTACGAACGTCCGCTGCCAGCGACTGTTCAAAGGCGGCAGCGGCAGCTTCTGGTTCGAGGTCCTGGCCTCCCCATCCTCCGCATCCTCCACATCCTCCACATCCGTCGTATCCCCACATCCGTCGTATCGTACGACAACCGGCCAGTGCTGCCCCAAGCAGACATGCCAGTCCCATCCGAGGATCTCCTCTTCCTGAAGCAGTATAACTCCCAAGCCGCCCTGTTCAAGGCTCGTACGGCAAAGACCATCACCGAGGGCTCGAGCTACGAGCCAAACCCGTGGCTTGAGCGGACTGGCTGGGTTGCTCACCTCCGGGGTCTCGACCACCAGAAGCTCCAGTCGGCCGTCAGCCTCGAGCCCGGGGATGGTTGGTACAGGGCTGATCATCGTACGATGCTGGAGGAGGTCTGGGCGAGCCTCAGCCGCATCATCCAGGCGGCGCATCGTACGGCCACGTCCGAGGTGGCCGGCATCTCCACCCTGTTTGAGCTGCGCCGGCGGGACCATGTTCACAAGGCCAGGGTTCCCTTTTCCAGCCGGCTTGAGCCACAGACGAAGGCGCGGTATCTGAATGTCTGGAAGCGCATTGTCGGCTACCTCTTTCGTACGCAGACGTGGTACGAGGATGACTGTGGCGCCTATGAACTATCGCCGCCTCAGGAGGAAGCGTACAATGACTTGGAGGAGTTTCTGGAGGAGACTCTGCAGGCGTACGAGCCGCCGCTTGCGAAAGCCACTCTAGAGGTAATCGACCATAAGTGCCTGCGCCTCTTCATCTCCCTGCTGGACCATGAACTCCCCAACTCGCCGTACGAGAGCGTGGTCTTAAGCGCCCTTAGCGTGATGGGCCTCAGGGCAGTGGGCGATGCTGTTCCCTGGCGCCGGCCGCATGAGTATACCGGGATCCTCTCGGCCGCCATTAACATCAGTCGGCTCCTGGCTCTGCAGCAGTCGTACGAGGAATGCCGGCAGGTCCTGGACGCGGGGACGCCAGAGGAGAGGGAGATCGCGCCAGGCCCCTTCGATTCCGTACGATCAAAGGTCTTGCGCTACCTGACTGTTACCTCGGCCACCACGAAGCCCTCGCCGATCGACTGGATCTTCGAGGTCAGGGAGTACGGCATGGCCATTAGTAAAACAACGTCCCTGGTGGCCGATGTACAGTGGAATGGCGAGCAGGTGCGTTTTGGCAAGACTGGTTTTACTGTAACCCAGCTGGTTGATCTCGTGCAGTCCCTCACCCTGGAGCTACACCGTACGATGCGCCAGCTTCTTCTGGTCGACGGGGGAGAGGAGAATGGTGGTGCAGGAGGAGGGAAGGCAAGGGGGAGGAAGAGGAGAGACAGGGCGCTGGGGAGGCAGTCGAGGCTGTACGAAACCCAGCCCCGATCCCAATCCCAATCCCAATCCCAACGCCTGATCTATCGGCTCTAGAGGACCATGCTGGGAATGCCAGCATGGACTATACGTTCCTGACAGACTCGCGGAATAAGGGCCTACTCGATGGCCAGTCGGGCTGGGTTCTCAGCCGCATCCTGAAGGACCCCGAGCTTCGTACGGAATGGCTGCATGGCACTGACCTCCGGCCCCAGGCCGTGAACCGGTATGGCAAGCTGGTAGAGCAGTTCCGTACGAAGCTCCTCCTGCTAATGCATCTAACCGGTGGGCAGCCAGCCCGGTCCACTGAGATCCTCAGTATCCGCTACTGCAACACTTCGTACGGGGGGCCGATGAATGTTTTCCTCTGGAAAGGGCTCGTCTGCTTTGCCACATCCTACCACAAGGGCTACCGGTCCAAGCAGAGGCTGAAGATTGTTCATCGATATCTCCCCGACGAGGTAGGCGTCGAGCTCGTACGGTACCTCTGGCTGGTCCTCCCTTTCTGGCAGAACACTCTGGCAATAGTAGATAGGGGCGAGGGCGGAGGTAAAAGCGGAAGTGGGAGCGGGAGTGATGATGGCCTGAGCCTGAGTAGTAGTAGTAGTGGTACTAGTACTAGTACTGCTACTAGTAGTGGCTCGGCCGAGCGAAGCGCATATCTCTTCAGCCGCAGGATCGTACGGAGCAGAGATGAAGTGCGGCAGGGCGGGCCCGAGGAGCTCTGGACCGGTGACAAGATGGGGAGGCTGTTTGGGGATGCGAGCGTACGACTCATGGGGGCAAAGATCAACGTGCACGACTACCGGCATATAGTTATTGCCATTGGGCGGAAGTACCTCCACGGCATCTTCAAGGACTCGTACGACAGCAGGGACCCGGCTGCCGGCCGCGATGGTAATAACGATGATGACGATGACTCGGACGACGATGGCCTTGCTGCCGTAATGGCCCACCAGGCGGCCCATAGTGTCCTAACCGACGGCATTACCTACGGCCGTACGAGCCAGCAGTTTGGGCTTGGCACGGCACTGCAGCAGGAGCAGTTCTGGCAGGCCAGCGTACGATGGCACCGCTTCCTCGCGTTCAAGAGCAGCCAGCCCGGCAGCTCGATGGCGCAAAGGCAGCAGTTGAGTCAGGGGGCGTTGCCGTACGAGACGGTGCGCCAGTCCCTCCGGGTCCTGCGACTCCAGCACCTCGGCCGCGTCAACCTCGAGGCCAGCCTACAGCAGATGCTTCGCAAAGACTCGGCCAGCTTCCGCGGGCAGCAGGAGGCCGTGCTCCAGGCGGTCGTACGAGGGCGAACACCGATCCTCCAGATCGCCGGGACGGGCGAGGGCAAGAGCCTTTCGTTCCTACTACCGGCCTACTGCGCGTACGATGGCGTCACGGTCGTGGTTGTGCCGCTGCTGGCGCTGCAGGGTGACCTGAAGAGGCGGTGCGATGAGCTCCAGATCGACTCGCACATCTGGTCGCACAGCCGGGCCAAGACGTCCAAGATTGTGTTTGTCACTCCCGAGTCTATGGCAGCCGAGGACTTCCACAGCTTCGTCACCGGCCTCATCGTACGGCAGCAGCTTGACCGTATCGTCGTCGATGAGTGCCACATGGTCCTGGGCGCCTCCTTTCGCTTCCGGCGCGAGTTCCTGTCCTCTAATCCACCAGTCGTTGGAGTACAACAACCCATTGCTTACTAGGAAAGTGCTGATACGCATGGATCGTGTAAGACTTGAACAACCCCGACCTGAAACAACCGTTTTGATTGGTTAACTCTAACCCCAAAGTGGAGACCGTCAGCTTAGGGTAAAGCTAGCGGGAATTGTCATAACCTCATTCATAACCTCATTATTGCTAGAGGCATTCATTCCACTGGAGCTCTTGTGATATATATTTCGCTAGACCTTTAGTGAAATGAGTGCCGCTTTAACCTCTTGGTGCGAGTGCATAGTTCCCAGGCGAGTAAAAATGGTAGCTTTAGGAATTTTGTCGAAAGCTGTTGGGTGGGTTGGCGACCATATAGCGACGTTTGTCTCGGCATGA